TAATAAATTCAAATGTAATTTAAAAATTTTTTTATACTGTTTTACTATATTGTTGGTTTTAAAACTCATAACCCAGGAGTTACTCAGTACAAATTTTTACCAATACTCTAAATTAAGATCTATTAATTTTAGAGGCATTTTTTATATTAAAACTTCTTTATTATGCTATATCTTCACTATCAAGGTTAAAATATGCTTGGTCTTATTTTCTGAATATGGTAATATTATTCATCTACAGCATAGCCTTAGACTTTTATAAGCTATGGACTTTTTATATACTAAATCATACAGGAATCTGTTGTGCTCTTGCTTTAATGAACTATAGTTATTACTTTTAAGGCTCCAACTTAATAGGGATGAAACCTAAAGTCCTAACATTTAATGGTTAATTAATGTAAATTAATAATGAGTCATCTCATAGATGATCAAGTCTTTTAACATATTCAAAAATATATTTATAGTCTCACAGATGCAAGCATAGTCTCATTGCTATCTTAATTAAACAGCTGAGGATGGTCCCTGAGTCACCATATAGGAATTGGTAAAAATATCAACAGAGCAGTCCTCCTGACAGGCTCATCTGCAGCAAAAACAATGCTCCAGACCTTGGCTACTGCTCTGGCTGTGGGCATTTCTGCACAGAAAACAAGTGGTCTGCAATGCCCCATCCTGTCAGGTTATAGCCAAAAGTTAATTCCATCAGGTCACTGTTTCAGATGCAGCCAGGGAGTATGCTGGTCCGGAGGCTGCCTCTAAACAAGCCATGACTGTCTGCTGACAGACTGGCCTCTGGAAGTCAAAACACTCCCATGAAGGCTTGTTCTCTGTGTCCAGCAATGGAGGCTCAACCAGCACAAGAGCCACAGACACTTCCAGCCTTAGAGCTCTTTGACCTGGCGGAGGACAAATGGCTCCTAGATTTAGTGACCTCCACCACTCTCGCTCAGCCCAGGGTAGCTTTACAGGTCTGTTTTAACCCAATACTTGGGTCCCACAGTCATATTGCCAACTTCTGTGTTGAGGAAACTTCAGATACCTTCTCAGTTCTCTTAATATGCAGGAGACCAGGCCTTAAACCTCACTCTGAGAGTTGCTACTGTCAGGTCTAGACATTCTAGTTTGCTATCAGACTCAAAAAACAGGCCTCAGATGTAAACTTTTACCATCCCTTTAACTAAAGAACAATAAATGTTCATAGTGGTCTCACATATGTCTAATCGTAAATAACTTGATACAAAGGCCTAAGATTGGAAAACACAAGTTATAAGTGTTTGAGGGTCTAGGAAAGTGCTTTAAGATTGATAAATGTAAGTTATAAATGCTTGAAGGTCTAAGAAAATGTTTTAAGGTTGATAAATGCAAACTTAAAAATTGGTTAAGCCTCTTTTCCATAATGTATAATGATACTAAAAGTTAAGACCAAGTGAGCTTTTGTCTCTTCTACTTCAGGATAGGCTTTTGCCTTTCCAGAGCTCACCTTAGAGACTTTTTATATTATTAACACAAAGGTGTATGTCTAGTGCCTTTTCTACAATGAATATTTCAATGCATATTACATGTTTAATGTAATATGACAAATGTTAACATGTCTAAAGTTTTATCTCCTTTGTAAGGCTTAAAAGGAATCCTTGTAAGATGCAGAAAATCCACCAGAATCCATCTCTCAGGTCAGCTGGGCTCCAGATAAGTACTGCTGCACCTATTGTCTATCTCAAAAGGTAGAATTCCTTCCCCAGTTTCCCTGGTTTTGGGACTCCTCTTTCTTGGCTACCCAATCACTGCATCCATATATCAACACTAGCAGATTGATGAGTTCCCTTCCATGGTTCGTGCAAATGTTCCTCTTTGTAGGAGAGACTGACTGGTATCTCTCTATTTCACTGGGGAACAGAGGTACCTTCCCTTCTCATTGACCCTCACACAGATGCCTTCCTTGGATGAATAATAGTTTTCTTTTTACTGACATACTCGCTTGGCTTTTCCTTTCCTCTAGCACGCTGGATATGCCATAGGAAAATCCAAAATCCTACTACTAGGTGAGCTGTGTGTTCCGTGAGTCTTCCCTGTGGCCTCTGGCACTGCTCATGAAGACCTGCTTTTGCCAGCTTGTGCCCCTGTACCTCTGGGACTCCTGTACTTTGTGGGGATGCCCCAAAGCCTGGCAGACCTTTCTCTCTTCACCCATGGAAATCGTGTCTTCCACCATACCCCCATGGCTCTCCTCTGAGATGCCTTCTCAATAAATTCACATTTGTACACATAAAACCAGCTTTAAGGGCCTCTAGGCTTACATACTTCTACAATCAAACTTGGCCTCAGTTTCCTTAGATAACAGATCCAGGGCAAAATCTTTTAAATTACTGTCAGTGATCGGCTAAATGGAGGTTCCCCCAGGGTAAATAGAGGCTCCTATGTTCAAGTCTCTTCTTCAGTTTCTGTTCGTTCTCCCAAAAAGTTTCAAATGTAAACCTGAAAGTAATGTACACCTAAAGAAATTTTCTCTGTAACTTACTTAACTTTGTGTTCTGCCTATATATATGTTCCAGTATCCTGCTAGACCCAGGTGTTGCTACATCCATGACAGCACCAAAGCAGCTGCCACAGGTGTTCCAGTCTAACTGTGCAGACTGTGTCAAGCCAGACCTGCACTTTCACTCCCAGCCACGGATATTCTCACAGACCTTGGACTACAGGGAACCTGAGCTTGGTCAATGTTTCAGTCTTTTGACCTCCCTATCGCCATCCTAGTGTCAGCAGGAAGCAGTTAAAGATGACTGATTTCTTCACCGTGATCCACTTATTCTCAAGAAAAGGCTGGAATGGTGTGCTTCAGGCCCAGGACCAACAGCTGCAGGTTCTCCCAGCATTCCTCAGTCCCTATCTGCTGCTAGACATGGCTGGCAACTCCACCCTCCACCCTGAACTTTTCAGGGCAGGGACTTTCTCTCCTACTCACCATGTAATCTGGACATTTTAGAACTCTTACTTTTTTCCTCTCTCTCTCTTATCCCCTTGCATGGCAACCAAGAGCTATTTCCAATGAACCTACATGTATATACTTACCTTACATGAGAAGCAAACCCAGCTCCTCATTTTTAATTAAACAAAAAGGGAGGAATATTAGTATCTAGGCAGCCTGATTCTGGTTTGCCTAGCAACCTTTGATGACATCATGTGTTGCCTGCCAAGTAGTCACACCTGGCAGGCATGGTTCAATTGCTCCATAAAAAGAGCAACCTGCCACTTTGTCACTCTCTTGCTCTCTTGCTATATCCTTCTCTCTGTCAAGGTGCCTCTTCTCCTCCCCTATCATATCTAGCGCTCTCTTTCTCTTTCTCTCTCTCTCTCTTCCCAGCCAACATTGGATTTAAGATTGTGTGTGTGGCATTTTTATACTAACAGAACCTAATTGTATTTGGAAAGAAAATCTTGGGAACATGTTCTGGAGAATCATTTGCCCCATGTATAAGACGGGGTCAGGGATTGAAGGAGCCTATAACAATGGTAGAGCATTGGTTTAGTATGCCCGAGGCCCTAGGTTCAACCTCCAGCACCAAAATTCTAAATACACAAACAAATGCTATGAGGACAATTGCACCTACTTCATGGCAAGGGGTCTATCTGCTAAGGCATGTAAATACGAACCAAACTACTTAGCACAAGGAACTTTTGAGAATTCTCAATTCTCTAAGTCAGTCCACCCAAATATGAGTTTCCTCCCCACAGATGATATTACATGATGAGTGCCTTGTCTGAAGTCAATTCTCACTTAGTGAGTGGAGACACTAGCAGGATCATGGGGCTTGCTTAAGGATATGTATTCTCTACTAGCTAATTAATTAGAAGGCTTTATAAATAACCGTCATTGCTTTTTTTTCTGATTCCTCCCTGACTCTCAGGAATTCAGCAGCAGTTTCCTAGTATTGCCATCCTATGTTTCTTGACACTTCTAGGAGTCCCTTGCTCTTGAAGAATGGGCAACCTGTTTACCAAGTTTGCCATAACTGTGTTAAACTGCAAGTCACTGCAGTAAGCTAGAGAAGTTGTGTTTAAAATGGCATGCAAAGTTGTAATATGGTGAACATGTTTTTTTTTTTTTTTTTTTTTTAATCTGAACATAAACTTTTACTTTTCCTATGGGAAAAGGAATGAAAACAATACGTTTAAATTCTCTTCAAGTTCTGAGAGTAAAGTCAAGTCTGTTTTATTACTGTGTATATTTTCTTATTTTGTGTTCATAAAGATTATTTCCCAAGGCTAAGTATGTAGCTCAGTGGTAGAGCATTTGCCTGTACCAGGCCCTGGATTCCACCCACAGCACCACAAGCATCAATAACAAAAACAGTGGAATTTTTGTTTTGTTTTGTTGTTTTCATTTTCAGAAAAGGCATTAACAGTTTTTCTTAATACAAAGTACATTCCTGACTCAGGGCACCAGATTTCATGACTATGTTAAAAATTAGGCAGAAGCAGAAGGCATCTCTGTCTGGAATTGTGTGTGTTTTCACTCTAGACAACACTCATCACGCCAAAAGAAAGGTGGAGTGCATGGATTTTTAGACTTAGGTGTATGAATTAAATAAAATTTCACAAAGCACTTAGAATAGTGCCTGGTACACAGTTAAATGCCATGTGCTTGATAAACTAACAACTTTCAAAGGTTTGTACCATGACCACACATGCCAACCCAGCGGAAGCCCGCTTGACCACAGAGCAAGCCAGTATTTTCAGGAGACTGAAAAAGGCCAAAATTGCTGCTCTTTTTTGGTCAAATTGAGGAAAACCAACGCAAATCCATAGGATGGCTCCCGAAACCCAAGGCAAGCTGGGGATCCCGTCCCATTCCCAAGACTAGAACGGTTTGAATTGGACAGGGTAGGGTGGGTTTGGCCACCTGTCACCTTCAGAAGGCCTGTCAGTCAGCCAAGGTAGTGGAGAGGTAAGGGGACAGCCAGAGGCCGCGGCCTAAGGGCTTGGCTGTGGGTTCTGCGTGCACCTACCTGTACAGGGGCCCGAGCTGGAGCAGGTGCAAGAGCAGCATCAGCGGGCGATCACGGCTGAGGTCCCGGTGGACGAAGAGGAGCGTGAACTGCACTAGAATACAGGGCATCAGCGAGAAAAACAGCGTCATCGCTTGCCACATGCGGTCCCCGCCCGAGTGGTAGGTACTGCTCAGGTAGAACGCCGCTGTAGTCTCGGCCACGAACAGAAACAGGGACGCTAACACCGAGGCCGGGAATTTCATCTCCGCGTCTCATAGACTCGCCCTGCTTTCCGCGACTGAGGCAGCGGTGGTAGCTGTACCACTAGGGGCTCCCAGCATGCCTGGCCCGGACCTGATTGCAGGCAGCGAAGCCCGCTGAGAGCACATGTGCCAGGCCAACCGTCCGCCGTTCGCTGGGAGTCTGGCCTGGGGGCAACCGACAAAGGGGGTGGGGCGGGCAGCGTGGCCCGGGTCGGACACGCCCACACGCGCCGTGCGCAACCGCCAGCGCTCACTCCACCGCCCTCAGCGAGCCTCTATGAGGAGAGTGTATCCTGTGGGCCGCGAACCCGTGGTGGCCAGGCTGGGGCAAAGTACCGCCTCTCCCAACCCCCATACCCAGGGAGGCCACCAACCAAGCCCGGCCGCGTGCAGCCTCTGGGTCCTAGAGTCCGTTTTCTTACGGCTGTCTTGGGAAAGCTGTGGCGGTCAATTTAATAAACTGTACCGACTTGAAACCAGAATTGGGGGTATGGGAAACTGAGCTCCTGATCAACTGTGTTTTCTGGCCGGAAGAAACCCCTGATGAAAAGTTCAGATTTTCCTGCCAGTCCAATTTAGCCAGAGCCACTGAGATGCTTTTCAAGGAGCACCAGTGTTGATTTGCTATTCAATTTACAGGAAGATACATTGAACTTTTCACTGAACCCCTTAGGCATGTTTTTTGTCTTTCTAATACAGCTGGGAAGGCGCATCAAAGGAGTTCTGGAGCCAAAGTTTTCCCTCCCAGATAAAAACTGCTTACAGAATATACTGCAGTCTAACTGTGACTAACTCAAGACAGGTCAAAGACCAGAACCTAATAAGGAAACAGTTTTCTAGCCCAACATGTACCTCTGTCCCTGTGCTAACCCTTAAGTGTTTAAGTTTTTGATACAGTGCATTTTAAATATATATTTTCCCTGCCCCACTCCTCCCACATCTTCCCCACCTGCCTACACACCCAACTTCATGCTTTCTCTCTCTCAAAAAAATAAAAAATAAAAACAAAAACCATGTAAAACAAAAAACCAAACAGTAAAACAAAAAATATCAAAACCAATAAAACAAACAAACAAAATCACCTACAAAAACAAACATGGGGCCCATTTTGAGGTCCATCCCCTGGCATTTGGCTGATATACTAAGGGACAATTGCAAAAACCTAGGAATTCCCCTTCCCAGGATGTATCAATTACAAATACTTTCTTGGTCATGGGTTGGAATTTGTGTGTACTTCCCTTTCTCAGTGCTGGCATTTTGTCTGGTTTTACCCTGTGCAGACCCTGTGTACCCTCACTAAGCTTTTGACAGCCTCTGAACATAAGGATGTACTCACAAACCCTACCCCACTCCCAGCACACACATATACAAACACACACTTCCTCACACCTTCTAAGATCATTTTCCATGAAGAAATTGGGTAATTTTAATTTTCAGGCATCTTGGGCATTTTTCTATTTTGGAAAACGAAGTAAATACAAATAAAATGTGAAGATTCAAGATCTCGAGACAAGAATAAACATGGAGGGACAGGACAAGTTAGGCTGTTTTACTTCGTTGTTGGAGTCACATGGAAAAATCTATTTATAAGGGATGAGGGGAAAACTCAGCCAAGGACTGAGAAGTACCAGGTCCCTTCTCCAAAAGGATTACGAATGCCTATTTATAGAATCCAGCAGGCCACCATGTCCTGGATCCAGATACACACAGTCACAAATGGAATGAGCAGCAGCACTCCACAGTTTTTGTGTAATATTTTATTTGACACTGTAGTTAGCTTTAAAGGAAAATCAACGTGGTAGCTAAGAACTATTAATTAGAACACAATAATTATTTAGCATCAGATTTTTAAGGCAAAGGATTATCACAGGTTTTACATTATTAAGCAGACCATGTGGAGCAGGTGGGCAATAAGCCAGAAACATCACTTTAAACATAATAAAGCCCAGTGGATGGCAGATTATTTTGTACAGTATAAAACTAATGCAGACAACACAATGGAAAGATCACAGTGTTTTGGGAATATTATAACAGCAGTTAAAAAAATAGTAAGGTGTATCACTTAAGTTTCTGAGTCAGTCTTGCTTTGAGAGAGATTTCATTACATCATGCAGTGGACTGTTAGCGACTGTCTCTGTGAAGCTGAAGCAAATTCAACTGACAATTGTCCTTCCTGCTCCTGGAACAACAGATAACAAAAGCTAAAATCTGATAAGCATTTCTAACTGGAATCTTCTTGGTCATGGTCTGCACATTAACTTATCATAGGCACTGTGTCTTTCGAAATTAGCATTTGCCATTTTATCCTTGAGAAGAATATACACAATTATAGCTTAGTTTCCCTGCCCAACACTTAAGTAGATTTTCATTTGAAATTGACAACATATATTGCAATATACTTCCTCACTAAGATCAAAATACCCACTTTGTTTTTTTTTAAATATGTGTATACAGGTAATAGACTTGTAGAAACCGATATATGGGTATAATCATATGTAATATGCCAGAATACTTGAGAACTTTGTTTTATTATAAAATGCCATAGTATGATATTATGTAATATAGTAAAATGCTTAGCACAATGTTCTGCACTAAGTTTAGAACTACCTGCTACTGATATATCTTTCAAGCACCTCAAAGTACCCCTAAGGACATATAATAATTAGCAAGAAATCAAAGAGTGTGATTTTTGGCTTTTATAAAGACTCTCAATTGGTGTGGAAGTATTTCAAAATTCTTGTTATATGTGACAGATAAATGATGTTGAAATTTATGTTAATAAAAATTAAAAGAATTTTTAAAGTGCTAATAACTAATTCTTATTATTTGGTTTATTTTGTATCATTTTGTTTTACTCAATTATGTGAAGAAATACAGCAAAATCACTTTATTAACAAACAATACTAACTTACTGAACAGTCTTCAAAATTCAATAGTACATTAAATTGTGGTGCTTGTTTACTGTTAAGTACAATTAGGAGTAAGCTGTTATACTATAATGGCAATTTACTATTTGGTACTGCCCCAAAAGTTTAAGGAATTGTACTGGTTTGCTGCTTATGAGATGTACCATTAAGAAGATGAGCTTTTTAAACTCATCTTTTTATAAACTCATATTTTTATAAACATTGTGAACTGTGTATAAATGAAAACCCTTTTGGTGACATAGATTCTTTTCACTCTAGTATATGATGCTTCACCATTCCCCAGGTATATATGGCTTTTCAACCTGTTTCCCTAATTTCTACAAAATCCATTAAAAAATTCCATTAGATTATTGCTACTGCATCCAAAAGATTAATATTCAAACCTATCTTCCAAGAGCTCCCCAAGAAGTTTCCAGTTGGAAGAGCCCTTATGTTATTAGAGACTGGACGTTCTTTTACTACATTCTGAGACCAATCTATTGCACTTAGGGTACTCCTATATGGAACATCTATGTAATAGAAATTATACTGAATTTTCAAGAGCAAAAGGAGTCTACTGCTGCTACAGTCTTCAGAAGACACCTCTAAATATCAAAATACTGAAGTCCTAAAAGACAGAGCTAAGACTGATTATTTGAATCAATCTGCTTATTTGAATATATCCACATAGAAGGATGACTACACGCTACTTGAACCAAATTCAGTGACATAAATTATTTTACTGATGATAGCCACTTACACAGAGATATTAAAACATCAGGGGATGGTAACAGACATCCCACTAAAATATGCTGTAATAAGGTCATTTGTGAAGACAGTATATATGTACAGAGTTTTTGTCTTCTTTAAACTGATTGCTAAGTCACAGCTACTTCATACACAATACAAGATTATACACTGAGGAACATGTCACACGCAAAGACTATGGAAGAAAATTTCAGCAGAGCTGCATTATTCTATATGTGTGAAATCTATTTACACATATACACACTCAGATATTTCTTCCCATCTCCATTCTTTTAGAGTCATTTCTGAAAGCATGAGAAGAGGGGTTGTATTAGGGTACTTTCGAAAGATCTATATCTATATGTAAGACCCTAAAGCCATCTGCTGATTTCAATTCATAAAGGCTTATTCTATATAATAAATGAGCTATCTTACCTTTCAGATGATTCTGTATACAAAGATAAAACTATTCACTTGAGCCATACAGTTCATCAGCCCTTCTACTCCAGTACAGAACAAAAGTACAGAAGATTTGGTTTTCCATTTAAATAACTTTCCAAAGTTAATTCAGAATGATTAACAAAAGGAAATGAAGATGTATATAATCCTGCAGATGAGATTTTGTTAATTGTAAAGTGATCTAGATAGAAAGGACAATGTCCAATATTTAAAGAAGATGAAAACGAATATTCTTTTAAACTTTAACAGCATCATGCATTAGGTCCCAATTCATTAACACTTTGAAATTACAAAGTAAGGGGAGAGATTACACCTCCAGTGAAGGATTTAAGACCATGGGCAAAGTCCATGTAGGAATGACTTAAGTGTTTGTCTTTTATGACACTAAAACCAATATGACTACTCCCTTTTATGGAGCAGAAGCAAAATACATGCAGCCATTATCTTATTCTCACACCACAGGCACTCTTGTGACAGCTTGCCCTGGACTTGTGATCTGACTACAGAATAGTCCCAATTCTTGCTGCTACTAACCTTGACATCAGCCCTTCTGTCCAAAGTGGAATCAAGTCTAAGAGCCCCATTCTCTTAGCTAAGAACAGATGTGGACAAGGATAAGGGAAAGCCTGCCTACCCAGGAGAAAAAAAGGCCATGTGTGTGATTATAACAGACAAAGGGGAAAAAAATCCATTATCTGAAAGAGCTATTTAGAGATAAGCGATCAGAATGCTGAAGTGAAGGTGGTTTAGGATTAAAGAGATTCTAGGAAGCATGTAAGTCCATTGGTAAAACTATACCTATTCTTAGTGCCACAAAATTCACATGTGCAAATTACTCACAGATGCTGAGCTTTGGTAAGCAGCTCCTAACTCCTTACCCTGCCCTCTCATTCACTTTCCTAGCCAAATTTATGCTAACATCATATGGTAATTTGATCTTGGTAAACTTGATGTTTAGGCATTTCAGCATATTAATTTGAGACATACTCAAGGGTGGCCCCACAAGCAGTATAATTCTATTCCTAGAGATCACACACCTCTGAGGACCATATTAAAGTGAGGAGTCAAAGTCAATGTTAAATTGTCCTATTTCCCAATCCATTGTTGCTGCATAGATCTGGCCTAGTGCCCCCTTTTCTTGAGTTACTGGCACCACAATTCTTTATTTTCAGTAAGCAAAATAAATATTTGGTTAAAAAAGAGGTTCTAGACAACAATGCCAATTCTCTGGGGTAAATTTAGAAACTCTGAGGCTCAAACACCACAGCCAGAATTGGTGGTAGGATATAAAATGTATACACATAGATTTTACCCATCTAATGACCTGGGACCTCAAGCACTGCATCAACACATGACATGTGGGTTTTGTTTGTTTTTTTCATATTAACTGAGCATAATTTTAGTGCATATAGTATGCACATAAAATATAGAAGTCTTTTTAAGTAACAAAGAGCCTGTATATTACAAATAACTCCTATGACAATTCTGTGAATTAGACAAGGCAACTACTATATACAGTGCACGCAAGAAAGTGGCAGAGCAAGGCTTTGGAATTTCTAACATGGTTCTCTGGACTTTGCTGTTCCCTTCTAATTGTGTGTCTTCTTTATTTTTGTGCCTAATGGTGGAAATAGGGCCTAGGCCTGTATGCATGCAAGATATGTGTCCTACTACTGAGTTACACCCTCAACCTGTGTATACTTCCTTAGCTTAGTTTTAAACCCCAAACTCGTATTTCTTGTGCCGGAATTACTGAGATATGCTATCTACATAATGAAAACAATTCGCATAACACTTTGATTAAAATCCCAAAGAAAACTAAAGAAGTAAGTTGCCAGAGGAAGAGACGGGGTTTACTACGAACCAAAGAGATTGTTCTAGCTGTGTAATGAATTATCATAATTGAAGATTATTGTCTTAACAACATAGTCAATTGCCTGGAAAAAACAGTAGGAAATACACAGTCAAATTTCTATTCTCTTTAAATATCATGTTACAAGCTAAAAAGAAGCAAAACAGCAATGTGATTGAGTAAAATAAATACAGACCGTTAATGTTTAGAAAGGTATGTAACTGTGTTAATTCCACAGACCTGCAATGTTTAACAAAATATATTGCTATCGAAGTATAATTCAGTCTCCTTCCTTATTGTTAGGACTCTTTCAATGAACACTCAGACATCTCCGCTCAGCATGCATAATTGTTTTTGTCCTACAGAGTAAACAGTACTAACACTTGAATAGTGGTAGAACTGCCACATCAAGAGCTGGAGGGACGGCTCAGCAGTTAAGAGCATGGGGAGCCAAGTTGGAATTCCATTCCCAGAATTCACATCATGTGGCTTAGGGCTGTCCATAACTGCATCTTCAAACAGATATAACACCTCTGGCATCCACAAGCCCCAGCACTCTCATGCACATACCTACACACATATGTGTAATTAAAAATAATTGTTAAAAATCTTCTTTAAATGCCACCGTAGCCTTCAACAGGGAGCAAGCTTTAACATAAGAATTTTGCCACACATGAAACTGATAATGAAATAGATAACATGACTTACTTTCCTACTAAAGATATGTGTCTTTCTTCCCTCTCTTGGGAAAATAAGATAGACGATGACCCTCCCAAATCAACAGCACTTTTCTTTAAGGAAAGTGAAAAGTTTCAATAATAGGTTTAACAGCCACATAAAAGTGTATTCTTGCTTGAAATTTACTGAAGTGGTGCTACAGAAAGACCACACCCAAACGACCACTTTTTTGGATATAATATACAAAAAGAGTAGCCTTTTCACAGTGATCAGCACAAAGTCATAGTCAGTCTATTACAACTTTAAAAGGTAGGTCCAAATTTTCTAAAGCTACTAGAAACAAAACATACAACACATCAGTGTGTCATTTCCTAGTCCTTTGGGTTTGTATTCTTTATGACGAATGGTGGAGGTGGTGGGCAGATTTTAAAGAGGACGTACATTTGAGGGGACAAGTAATTTGTTTACTGTGGTGCTTACTGCTTTCTAATCTAGAATATTGAACAAATGAACTTGAAAGAAGAAACTCGACTTTGAATCCTTGCTCTGCTCCTTTCTCACTCTAAGTCTTCAGGGAAATCACCTTTACACACATTGAATGGCTGCTCAGACACAATAAAAGCATTTATTCATTTAATACAAAAGCCCCAATTCTGGCTGGTTATTATCTTTAGTCTGTAGGGCCCATGCAAAGTGCATTTAAAATGAGATGGTGAAGCAACTGTCACTGTCCTTTGGAAAGGAGGTCATTCTGTGGACAGCATCTTCCTTAAGGTTTTCCAAAACGTGCTTGCCCTCCTCAAGAAAGGTCTTCTGGAATCTAATTTTTACCCCAAACACTATTTTCACAGATAAGCAATTGAAGTCATTTTTATATTGTTGAAATCTTAGGGTGTGGAAATGGGACAATAAGCCAACAAGGTACCTATTTTGCAAAAATTATTTTGTCCCAGTTTCTGTTGATGATTGTAAACGTACAAAGAGTCATAAAATATAAAAAAGACAGTTCTTTTCTTTGGCAAGATTCTTTGAGAATCTTAAGAATACAAGAGGTCCTCTTTTTCAAAATAGGGTCACACATACAACATGCATCCAAACCCATACAAATCCATTGGGACCTACAGCTCCACAAGGCACAACACATACAAATGTTTCCAAGCAGCAGAGTATTACCTAATGCCTCCCAAAGTCTATCTACAGTTCAAATACTGTTTCAGTTTATGTGGGGATAGATGTTGCATATACACACATGTACCTACATTTATATACATATCCAAATACCTAATGACTGCTGAAATAACGATATTGTATACAGCACAACTGTTTCCTTAATATGATGTCTGAACGTCAATGCTTAAATACCAGGACTGTGGAAAACTTCATGTTCTGTATATTGGCTCCTATTAGTGTTCAACAATCTACTATGGATTTGAAGCATTTTTATAACTTGTTTTTATAGCAGAAGTAAACTAGATATGATAACTAGAATCAACTGATATGATAGCTGGTCTCTAGCATGTCCTCTGTTCTGCAGGGCAAGGTGACAGCCAAGAAGTTCATTTCACTCTTAATCAAATAGGATGAAATGGAGCATAATTCTTTCTATAGCCACTTCTATTTTTCTTATCCCATGTCTTTCACAGTAACCCATGAATTAGAGAAATGACTTACCTTTGTGGTAGTTACCCTGATTTTTGAGATGAGCGATTTTCACCTAGAACATATTTTACAGTCTATATACTGAGATTTACAAAGATAAAGGTATTTGAAAAATTACTAACATACACAATATACAGGTCACACTTCAAATTGATATAAACACATGATGACACTTATTTGCTAGGTATGAATTGTCCTGTCTCCCAGTTTTTGTTTTTTGTTTTGTTTATTTGTGGTACCACACATGGAACTGGGGCTCTGTACATACTAAACATGCTATACCCTAAGCTAGTAAGCTCCCCTCCTTCCTGCCCAATCTTACTATTCTGAGCTCTAGTAAAGAAAAAGGAACTAGGAAAAAAAATAGTCTAAGGCCTAAGGCAGCTTCAAATTTCAGTGTTTAAAATAAGTTATGGTATAACTTTTTTTTAAGTGCCCAGGATAGTGATTTTAAAAACCACGTACATGTGCAAATATCTCCACTCAGAAAAAAATTATGAATTTCAGTAAGTAAAGGCCTAAGACAACTAACAGTTTCTTTTCACGTCTTTCACCCTGACACTTGATCCCTGCTAACAGTTTTTAACAGGGCAAACTTATTTTAGATTCCAGTTGTCCTTACTTCTGAATTTAGGGGTGGAGGGCATAGACAGATGGTCAAATTTTTCTTCAGTTTTGAAAGTGGTGGCATTTTATCCCCATCATCTACAGTTCACTTTTGCCTTTTGTGTCATGAACTGAAAAACATTAGTTTTCACTTGTCTCTCTGCTCATGGGTTTTACATCTCTCCCCTGAAACGTTAAATCTGTGGTTTGTAGATGAGTTGTGGCATCTCTGTTTGGCAGGCTCTCTCCAGTCTGGTATCGTGCTGTTCTCATCAGACTGATCTCATCCTTTTGGCAGCAAAGTGAAGGCTCAGGATCGCGATATCATTGGATGTGGATTACATGGAAAACTGCCTAGAGGAGGCTCAGGAAAACTCAGGGGACTTCAGCCAGCTGCAATGGGAGATGGAGCCTTTTAAACAAAGACGCTGAAGAGAGGGAATTCAGCCTGATTGGGCTGCAGTAAATCAATGAGAAAGCAAACAGTCCCAGAGAAGCCTTCATACAAGCTGTATATGCTTTCCAGAACCCGTGAACCAGCTTTGAATTCTTCAGTAAATAAGAACTGAGCAAACCTAAGAGAAGAAGAAAACAGGAGCAGTTTCAATATGAATATGTCCATATGACCAGCCACAGGATGCTGTTCATTTGTGAACTTAAAGTTTTAGTGCTGTTTTCTTTTCAGAATTATGTAATTAATTTATGAAAACTCCATTCTCTGGTTAAAAAAAAAAAGAGAGATCAGTTATATAAGTGTTTATGTTTTGCAACAGGTTTTGTTGGCAAACAAATCCAACTATTTTTAGAAGCTGCAAATCAAAGCACATTGGTACTTTCTGAAATTCTATTCCTTCCACTGTCCAATAATTAAAAGTAAAAAACTCAAAATAAATCATTGAACTTTTGTCTTGAACTGAAGCAAACTGATATATCACTGTTCCTTTAAAAGAGCTAAAGATATTGTGTTTCTGGAGGCATATTATTTCTGAACTACATTTAATTTATACATGACAGAAAGCAGAGGCTGAAAATAAGTGTGCAGGATTTTACACAATCTGCTTTGGGCAACAAAATGAATGTGAAGATGCAAGCAACTTTTCATAATGTTAACAGCAAATAGTGAATTTAATTATGAAGCATTGTTGTTAAGACAATTTTCCATTAAAACAAGTCAATGACCTCTAAAATCTCCATTAAAAACATTTTTTAGTTTTACTTATTTAGATTAACTGTAACAACACTCTATCATAGTTTACAACCTTTCAAGTGCGTTCACCTATGTCATTATTTTTAACTGATTTTATTTATTTTTCATCAACAACAACAATAATCACCAATTCTGATGCTGGTGAGACCTGAGAGTTGGAACTATCATAAATTTAGATTACTGCTGCCACCCAGGGGTCCTATGACGAGTAATTACTTATTTAATCTCTTTCAGGGCCCTTGGAATTGGTGTAGGCAGATTAAAACAAATAAAGAGAAAATTAATTGCAATTCTATTTCCTACAGATTTTATATCAACTGTTTCCTTGAATATGTATCTATTTAAATAAGTGTTTTTAACTTTTAAACAGCACAAAAATAAGGCATTTTAGCTGTGTGTGGTGATGCATGCCTGTAATCCCAGCACTCAGGAAGGCAGACACAGGTGGATCTCTGTGAGTTTGAGGCCAGCCTGGTCTACAAAGCAAAATCCAAGACAGCCAAGGCTGCACAGAGAAACCCTGTCTCGAAAAAACAAAATAAATAAATAAATAAATAAATAAATAAATAAATAAACAAACAAATAAATAAATAAATAAAGCATTTTAAGAATCAATTAAATATGTAGAATTATGTGATAAATAGGGATTGTGAATTGACTATAGTTACCCTTCATCTTTTAAGTGCTATCTTTTAACTCTGGATACCTTGGAATTGTCCTCAAATTTATAAAATGTAATATGTAGAATCTAAAAGAACTCAACTATAGTAAAGCACAGTTAGTGTATTTGTTCTTTTTTTAAATTTGTTACCTCTTGTAAGTGATAAGAATTAAAGCCAGCACCTCTATCATTGAGCTGCAAGCTAATTACCAGTTTAAAAAATGAAAACTATCAAAAATTTATGATATAATAACATTAATTATTTTTTAGAATAGTAAATAGCACTATCTAGTAGTGCTTCAATAAGTACTGACATTTTTAAGCACTGAGGGACACAAAATATATTTTGCATTATCTGCAACAAAAGTAGTTGAATATGAGAATACTTCTACAGGTTGCAAAAGTGTAGCTGCTGATAAATTATGATACACACTCAAAATTTAAAGAAAATTTAAACTTCAACCTAAAATTTACCCTGCATACAAGATGTGCAGGGATAAAGATGGAGCAGAGATTGAGGGAATGTCCAACCAATGCCTGGCCAAACCTGAAGAACCATTCCATAAGAGAGAGCCAACCCGTGACACTAATAACAACACTCGCTATGCTTACAGACAGGAGCCTAGCATAGCTGTCTTCTGAGAGGCTCTGCCCAACAGCTGATTGAAACAGATGCTGAGACCCACAGCGATACATTGGGCAAAGTGTAGGGAGTCTTGTGAAAAAATGGAGGGAAGGATAGAAAGATCCGTAGGGAACAGAAGATCCACAAGAAGACTAACAGAGCCAACTAACCAAAGCCCAGAGTTGCTTGCGGAGACTGAAGCACCAACCAAGGACCATGCATGTACTGGACCTAGACCCCTACACAAATGTAGCCAATGGGCAGCTCGGGCTTCATGAGGGCTTCCTAGTAAAGGGAGCAAGAGCTGTCTCTGACATGAACGCTGTTGCCAGTTTTCTGATCACTTCCCCTGGCAAAGCTGCCTCACCAGGCCACAGAGGAAGAGGAATCGCTCAGTCCTGATGGGACTTGATGCTCTCCTGTGGGTTTTAGGGGAGCTCTCTTTTTCTAAAGAATAGAGGAGGGGGAGAGGGAAAGACGAAGGGAGGATGAGACTGGAGAAGAGGAGGGAGGGTGCTATGATTGGAGGGTAAAGTGAATAAGTAACTTAATTAATTAAAAAAAGAAATGATTACAATCCAGTTTGATATGTAATCTTAAACATATTCATAAACTCCAGACTTAAAACCCCTTAAAGATAAAGAGTTGTGGAGCTGAGGTATCCAAATTTGATTTTATGTTATATAAACATCGATGAATTTCTTAAACCAGGCTTTTTAAAAATAATAATAATAATATTATTATTATTATTATTTTATTAACTCTGTCTCCGAGCTGTATCCTGCTCCCTTATTCCCTCCCAATCCCACCCTCCCTCCCTCAGCTCTTCCTTGCCCCTTTCCAAGTTCACGAATTGGGGAGGACCTCCTCCCCTTTCGTTTGGCCCTGTTTTATCAGGTATCTTCAGGACTGGCTGCAAAGTCCTCCTCTGTGGCCTAGCAGGACTGCTCCTCCCTTGGGGGGTGGGGAGGTCAAAGAGCCTACCATTGAGTTCCTGTCAGAAATAGTCCCTGTTCCCCTTACTATGGGAAACGAATTGGTTATTGAGCTACCACGAGCTTCGTCCAAGCAAAGGTTCTAGGTTATATCCATACATGGTCCTTGGTTAGAGAAACAGATTCAGAAAAAAAAAAAAAAAAAAAAAAAACCTGTGCCCAGATATATTTTGTCCTTCTGGAACTCCTATCCTTTCCCCGTTATACTAACTCCCCTTCTGCCGAAGGTTTGGTTATGAGTCTTAGTATCTGTTTTGAAATGCTGCTAGGTAGAGTCTTTCAGATGCCTTCTGTGGTAGACTCCTGTCATACGTCCAATGCACATTCCATTTTTGCAAAAATTGCATAATTACATAAGTTATTTGGAAAGACTGAAGATATATAATAGTCTTTCACCAAACAGTAAAACCGGAAAAATGAAAATTACATTTTTACGTAATGTGTAAATGTATTTTGACAAAATATCTGTAAGACAGAAAATGAGTCCATTACACTGTAAAATTAATTTTACTCACGTGTGTGAACTCCGCCCCCATTAACCATGATTTATTTTAGTATTACATATCACTAAAACCTTGGTTTCCTGCATTATTTACCTAGAATGAAGGATGCAGTGAACATATTATGTGCTTTTAAAAATACTTTCTAAACAATGCATAACATTGTTCGTTTCTGCAAAATGTTGTCAATAATAAAATAAAAACTATTTTTCAACACTGTGCCCAAGGTTCCCAGAATCAAATAAAATAAATAATTTTCTAAACAATTATTAGTCAAAACAGTAGCCTGAATGGTAATTATAAGAGCTAAAAAGAATTAGCCACATTACATATAAAATCCTAATGGAGCCTCAACAGATAAAAGAAGATTCAAATAATCCCTTGTATTATGTCTGATCACCATGGAATAAAGCTGGACCTCAACAACAACAGAAATAGCAAAAACACTACACACACATGGAAACTGAACAACTTGCTACTAAATGACAGCTGGGTTAGGGAAGAAATAAAGAAAGAAATCAACGAAAATGAAGACACAACATACTCAAACTTGTGGGACACAATGAAAGCAGTGCTAAGAGGAAAGTTCATAGCACTAAGTGTCTTCAAGAAGAAATTCGAGACATCTCATTCAAGCAACGGCTCACTTAAAAAACCTAGAAAAAGAAGGAGCAGACACACCAAAAAGGAGAGACGGCTGGAAATAATCAAACTCAGGGCTGAAATCAATCAAATGGAAACAAATAAATCAATTCAAAGAATCAATGAAACCAAAAGCTGGTTCTTTGAGAAAATCAACAAGATAGACAAACCCTTAGCCAAACTAACTAAAAGGTAGAGAGACACTATCCAAATCAACAAAATCAGAAATGAAAATGGGGACATAATGACAGACACTGAGGAAATCCAAACAATCATTAGGACTTACTTCTAAAGTCTATATGCCACAAAATTTGAAAATCTAAATGAAATGGACAATTTTCTTGATCGATTCGACTTAATAAAGCTGAATGAGGACCAGGTAAATCAATTAAATAGTCCTATATCCCCCAAGGAAATAGAAGTGGTCATCGAAAGTCTCCCATCCAAAAAAAAGCCCAGAACCAGATGGTTTCAGTGCAGAATTCTACCAGACCTTCAAAGAAGAGCTAACTCCAATTCTCTTCAAACTATTCCACAAAATAGAAACAGAAGGAACATTACTAAACTCATTCTATGAAGCCACAGTCACCTTGGTACCTAAAGCTCACAAAGACCCCACAAAGAAAGAGAATTTCAGGTCAATCTCCCTTATGAACATTGATGCAAAAATACTCAACAAAATACTTGCAAACTGAATACAAGAACTCATCAAATATATCATCCACTATGACCAAGTATGCTTCATCCCAGGTATGCAGGGGTGGTTCAGTATACAGAAGTCCATCAATCTGATCCACCATATTAACAAACTGAAAGAAAAAAAAAACACATGATAATCTCCCTAGATGCTGAAAAAGCATTTGACAAACTCCAACATCCATTCATTATTAAACTGTTGGAGAGATCAGGGATACAAGTCACATATCTATACATAGTAGAGGCGAT